CCATTCTATGATTCTATGATTCTATGAAAAGAAAACTCCCTAATTCAGTTACAGGGAGAGAAAAGACCTACAAAGCAATGAGGGAGGAAGAAAAAATTAGAAAATAAACATTGCCTCTAGTGCCATAAGAAGCAGCAAGAGGAAAACTGTCAACAGAGGTCCTGTTCAAAAAAAGTACTTGGTACAGGGATCACTGGCTAAATACACTGGCATGAGGGACCGAGGAAGAAAATGACAATGCATAAGGTAAAAGGCACATGGAAAGAAAGTGACTGGATGGCTGAGTGATTCAAGAAGGAGGACAAAATTAGGAACCAGTTACAGCCAAGGCAGGTGAGGATCTAAGAAGCAAGAAAAGAGAGCCCAGAGGTATGCCATTAGAAGTTGGCACAGAAGGCAAGTGGACTGAACTAATAAATTTAAGACTGTTAATAAAAGTAAGACTCACATGAGAACTTAAGCCAGAGAACATCCAGAAGTAAGATAACACTCTGGAAGATGCCATGCTTTGAATAATCATCAGCTTGGTAGACCTCTACTCTCCCAGACCTTCAAACAGAGCCCACAGTTCTTCAGCAACATGTTCTCCTCCTGTCTACAAATATCTGCAAGACTCACTGCTTTGGGAAGATAACATCTTACCACCACTTCCAGTTGCTAAATTCATTGAGGTTGCAGAGGGCAGTGTTGTGTATTTAAATTTCTAGCTCTGATGAAGACAGATGTTGTCAAGATTTTACCATATTGTCATAGTTGTGTGTTTATTTTGGTAAAACACAGGAGAATTATACACAGAAAACTACAGTAAAAGAACAACATTGCAATCTGGCCTTTATGTGATCAGCTTCTAAACTGTCATAATAGAATCTGTGCAGATATCAACTGGATACATGAAATTTTCATTAAGGTTCTTTTAAAGGTAGTCTACTAGGTGTAATGAACATCAAGGAAATTCACATACTGTATTACTTCTCAGCGGTCAACAAAAATCTATACAATCTTTTTAAAAACAATTCCTTTTACCTCGTATATATGATTTGGGTGGGGTAGCACTACTGTAAGTAAAGTGCTCCAATACAGAGGTATCTCGGGAAAAACAGAGTAATACCTGTAGAAAAGACAGCATATACAAATCAGCTGACTTACTGGATCAACAAAGCAACGTCAAACAGATTTAAGGACCTGCCTTAATTAGCACCTATTAGATGGTATTGAAGAGAGTTCATATGGTTGAAAGCTCTTGACCAACTTAATTTACTTTGCTGTTCAAATTTCCAGGCTCACTTTGAACTTGCTATGATTTTACTGACAACAAATAAATGTGAAGGTAAAATATCCCCATTCTCCTACCCTCCTCTTTGCCTCTCAGCACGGGTTTATCCCTTTCTGTCACATCCTTAGTGACTGTGCATGCAACTCGCTGCTTTGATGTCTATTAGGTTATTTTTTCATTCAGTTACTATGACCTGAGGAAGTCCTAGTATAAGCAAATAGATGTCCTAGAATAAGCAAATGAAACATTTACATTTTTGCATGTATGCAGTTCCAGAAGACTGATCCTTATACTTTAATTCCCCGGAGCTTTACATAATGCTTGCGTGCTATTCAGTTCTTTCAAAAAGCACAAATTATAATGTTCACCTCGTATCCTTAAGTTCTGAAATGCACATTGTATGTTGTAAAATATATTTGTATTTTTTATTGTTTACATAAATGAAAAAATCTAGTATTCACAGCAATTGAGTATAAAATTAAATAGTAAAAGCATTCCTAGAAAAACATTAACAATAAAGAATTTCATCCTATATGCAGTTGTAAAAAATGTAGTAATTGGTATTGTACTTAAAAATTTTCATATTTTCATGCAATGAAAGACTGCACTAGCAAGAATGTACACAAGAGGGCATAAGTAAGACAGACTTCAACTTGCTGCTCACTTTTTTTGCATACATTAAACCCTCTCTGCTCTTGCAGGTTTTAAGAGTTTGTTTGTTTGTTTTAACTGTAGCCAAGGTGTAAAAGGTGGAAATGTTTTAGATGGTGCATCACTACATAATTTATTATGAATAAAAATTAATGGATTTTTCCTTCAACTAATTATTGCAAACATATTCCAGATATCAGCATTTATCAAAAGGAAACATGCAAAACCAAAACACTAAGACATCTGAACACCATTGCGTTTTAAATTTTTTTTATGGAAAGCAAGCCATATTTTAAGACTTTTTCCTCTTTTGAACCTCAAAACTATTTCTGAGATACAAGCATCTTTTAAAAAATAAATAGTTTCTTTATCTCAAATGGTTTAAGCTAAATATTATGTTGTGCAATACACAATCATTTTCATAGCTGCCAAAATATAGCTGACAATAACAATACACAGGCAAATGTAATTCTCTGTATATGTTAACTGAGGTGAAAGAAAAAGAAACTAATCTGAAAAGGCCATAAATTATGTTCTCTCATAGGGGAAAGAATGTAACCTTAATTTGAGGCCCCCTTTTTTAGGAATACAGTGTCCAGTACCAGTATCTGGAAGTCTTTAAATTAAGACTATGCATCTTTATAAGAGATAGACTCTAGCTCAAACATAAGTTATAACTATACCTAAAAACTGCTGGGTGAGGTTCTTTGCATGTATTCATTATGCAGGATGTAAGACTAAAGAATTCAAATTGAACCTCTGGCCTGAAATAAAGAATTTACAAATTTATTAATTCAAGTATTACTTTTCTCATTTACAAAAATGATAATGCTAAAGAAAACAATGACACAAACTCCCTTTCAGGTACAGAAAAGTTTGACAAAAACTATTGGATATTTGTAATCAAAACTGAAAATCACTGAATTCAAAGGACTAAGAAGAAAAAAAACCAAAGTTAAAGCTTTATCAAAAAAGAAATTACTGTATTAAAAGTAACTGTATTCTATTTCAATAGTTATAAAGAAGTAATAAAAACATGTCAACTTTGGTATAAAGAAAGCAAAGATATTAAAGGAAATAAATTACATCATTTCACAATGTTCTTCCCCAAAAGGATTGCATGCTACTAAAGAGGTATCAATAACCCAACCAAATATCTTGTTATTTTACGCCTAAATTTTCTGGTTTTGATGGATGCTTTTTCTGTTAAGTAATACACAGACAAATGCCACACTCCGCTCAATGACTTGGAAAACTTAGAGGCAGTATGTAGTCATGAAAAAACCCCACAAACCCAGTGCAAACATAGAAATAATATATCTGGTTCAAACTAACATTTTCACTACCTATTTTATTTAGCCAATATTTAATTCCAGTTATCATATGAAATCAATAAATAATATTCCATATCAGAGTGACTCATACTGCAGAATTTTTCCAGGGGCCACAGAACAAAATCATTTGGCAGCAATGCATTTGCAAATTAGATTGGAAGAGAAAGTTATCAAGGAAAATGCATTAACTTTCTTCTAAGAAAGAGTCTAAAGAATACCACAAAGTACCAAACAAAACTAGAGCAACTAATAATTAGAAGTTTAAGATATTCTTTGCCTCAAAGCCTTGCAGTAAAACTAGGCACTTCATTTTCTAAAGTTTTGGTGACTCTCCTTTAAATTACTGAGGATAGTTTAGTCCTTTTTATGATTTTCATTCTGTAAACATTTTTTTAGTTAATAGAGATATATATAAAAAAGTGAAATATTCAACTGTGCTATATATTGAGATTGATGAACAAAATCTATTTCTGATGGTCTTAAAACCAAACATTATACTGTATATTAGTTCACACTCCTTCATAGATTATAATTCTATATTCACTGGAACTGTTAATTAGTGACTAATTAATATGCCTTAGTAATCTATATAATGAATGAAGCAGAAATAAGAATGAGATTTTCATATCCCATGATGATGAGATAATGTTACAATAATGAAGATCATCTTTGATCAAGAAAAAATCCTACATGGAACTATTTTAGTGAATAAATATCAATGTTTGAGTTATTATGTAGTCACTTTTCAAATTTTAATTCAGAAACAAATTCAGATACAGATCTTAATCTTGGAACTATTTTAAGTAAAAAAGGCTATAATTTCCTGAGGTTATAATTTGAAGCATTAATGTTTAAACATTTATTACACTGAAATATTATATGCGGACATGATTGAATAGTATGCTTAAATAGTAACGCATATTTTTATACCTACACGGACTAAGCAGCATTAAGGACAGCTCCTTACTCACTTAAATTACTAGCACTTTTACATATTACCATCAAAGAAGAAATCATTTCATTTCACATAGCTCAAACAGAAAATTAAGCAAGTCTAACCTAACAGATGTGACTAATGAAATTGAAAGCACTGTGGAAATGGTAAATTTGCTGCATGACATTTATGTTGACACTGCAATCAACTACACATTAGGAAATTCATAAATGTAACGTCCTCCTATTTAAGGGCATTTGACAGGCAGCAACAAAGATAATTCTTTATAAATTAGCTGGGTTCCCCATTGCTGGAAGCAGCTTTGGAATGGGAGCAATCCTAAAAGTAACTATACGCATCACTATCTTACTCAGAATCAATGTCTTCAATTTAAAAATATGTCAATACAATATCTTTTATGCTTATTGCAATAGGTCACTGTAAAGCTTTTTTTTTTTTTTAAATTGGAACCCTAAATATACTTCTCAAGTCTTAATTTCTCTGCATGCCACAGCTGTTAATCATTTTATTATTGCAAAGCTGGAAAGGGGAAGAATATAGCTGACTTTTCTGGCTTACTGCTTTGGAAAGACATTGTGTAGGGTCTTTCAGAGTAGGAGTTTTAGAAGTTTGTCCTGCTTAATCTGTTTAAGTGTACAAGATTAATTTACAGTATTGTTACTCAGAAGGGAAAGTATGCGTAATGCAGCAAACAGATGCTGTCTAGGGTCCCACTGAACTCTGCCTACTCATGAAACACAAAGGCAGTTCGTCTTCCACAGCAGTATACTTTCTAGCTTTTCTAAGAAAAAAAAAAAAGCTACATACCTGATATAAATAATCCTCAAATACAAAATAGTAGTCATCATTGCTTGCTGTCAGCTTTACATCCTGTAATCAAAAAATAGAGTAGTTTGAAGCCAAAAGACATCTCTTCAGACTCCCATAGAAGCTAGACAACACAGTGGTAGAAGAGACTGTTTCACCACTGAATCATGAAAGAGCTGTAGTTAAGCATATACTCCACATTTTAAAATTACCGTTTCTTTACGATTTAATGGCTCAACTCAAACAAATGTCTTACAGAAGAGCCAACACAGGCACAAGGAGAGAGTTTATAATAATAAATTCACACTAATTATTCTTACACTCATTAAACCCAAACCTTCTAACATATTCTTTGTTAAAAAACCAAGATACTGGTGTGATGAGTATATAAATCACTTAATCACTGTTTAGTGAATCACTTACTTTGTAAATCAGGCTGTCCACTAAAAGGTCATGCTGAATCACATTTGACTTAAGCTGTTCATAATACAAGATATCCTAAAATTAAAAATATCGTTAGTCTGAGACACACCTTTAATCTAAACTAATGAAACCAATTTTTAACAATTAAAAAAACCCCAACAACAAAAAGCATGTGTTCAGCTGAAAAACCCACTGCACAATTTATGAAGCATTCTATCCCAGTTTATTCTAACTTAAGCCCTAAGAAACAAGGCAGATATTTGAGACTTTATAAAATGACCTCCCCTGTAGATAATTAATGAAGTGAGAATGAAGAAACTAATTAAAACCAAAGATGTTTATCTTCCAACCTTTGGATCTCTACAGCTAAAACTTTTTCATTGCTCAAAATCTTTTTTTTTTTTCTTTTTTACCCTCTATTTTCATGCACCTCTCCATTAATAGGTTCCATCATATCTTCTAGCATTTGTGAGTTGCTACAAATATTTGACATTAATCTAATATGAATCTCTAAACAGTATAAATTTGTGAAAAGATGAAATTATAAACATATTTTTAAAATCTTGTGAAGAATACAAAGAACTCAGACCTTTTTTAAAACTCCAATTATTTCCCGAATGTCTACAGAACATACACAAGGGTAAAACGATGGGGAAGTATCAGAATAAACACTTCTCTGCTTTTGCTTATTCTATCCCTTTCCTCTTAGAAAGGGCTTGCAAAGGAAACAAAAGTTCAAATATTGCACTATCATCACGTAATTCCTAAATCCCTAAATAACTGTGTGTTATATATACATATATATAATACCCACAACTGAATAACACAGTTTCAGATGAATACCACAGTTTCAAATGGATTTGGAATAAATTTATAAAATAGAATCAGCAGCCCCAAAGCTCCTTCCCACTTTGCAAAACTATTTTGATTTCAGCGTGTCTCTACAGGCACCACACAAATGTCTCTATATTCCGAGTTTTACATAATATTCACTGCCGATTTCTTTGAGTGGGTGGGGGGAAGATAAGCCTGGAGTAAGGATTTAAAGAACAAATGGGAAGTAAGATGATATTTTGAGAGGCAGAAAATGGAAAAAAGTGAAGAGAAGGCTAGGGAACACTGTAACTGTTCTTTGTATTAATCCAAAACTGAGAAGAGGTGAATATTATACACTTAGAAATTATTAGAATTAATACATTATTAGACTGTTAAGTTCAAATGAGGACACGAGCTGTATTTATTAAGTACTGATAACTACCACAGGGAAAATATTTACATTTTTCTTTCTGAGAAATAAAAAAGGCAGATATAAATAATACTCTATTTCTTTATAAAGGATCAGACACAAATATTTACTAAATGTAAATTATTTGCAGCATGAATGTATTGCTGTTCTTACGAGCTACAGAGAACTACTCTAATATTCAAGTCACAATTTTAAAGCATCAATACTGTAGTCTAAATGTAACACTGCCAAATGAATAATGTCTAAAGTGGGGGGGGTTTGCCATCTCAAATGACTCTATATATTAGAACAGAAGGAGCTAATAAAAAAAAAAAACACAACTCTTCTTTTTCATGCTAAGCAGACTGCATGATTAACTGTTTCTGATGTACACAAAAGTACTCCTGCATAAGAAATGGTACAATGAAACTCATGGCTACAAGGGTACTAGATAATGCTACAACTAATTTATTGTAACTTGGGAAGGAGATTCTAATTACCTCATGGTTTCCTGTTTTAATTTCCTAGTTTTTAGTTCTCTAGAACTGCCTTGAACAATTGCTACAGGCTGCTTGGAAGTGGGAGAAGAAAGTGGTATGAAGAGAGACAGAAATCTTCTGCTACACACATATAGAGCACGCTTTAAATTTATATGCAGAAACAAGTTTTCTTCTTAAAATATTTTCACCTGAAGTGACACGGTGGCTCCAAGTCACAAGTTAACATTATCACTAGTCCAGTATTTTGTACTAACCTTTTCCTTCCTGAATTAGGAAGCCATTCAATTATGTTTTATGTTTGCTTACAAGAGTCCATTTTCCTGTTACTATTAAAATTATTGTAAAACCACAACTAAACAGTAATCACTTAAGTACATGGTCCATTCATCTTAACAGTCAGAATAACTTGGTATTCAGTTGAATTGCTGCTATTTTAGCTACACTTAGAATGGACTTAGTCATTTGGCACAAATGAAGAACAGATTTCTGTACAAGAAAAAATATTCATAAATGATGCTCTACTGTACTAACTTTGTAAGTTCAAAGTACTAGTTTCAGTGCAGTTTTGTTGAAGGCATCATACTGAAATATGATTGGCTTATTTTTAATCTCTAAAATATTTACTAGCTTCCTATGCCTTAATTCAACTGCATTATTAATTGAAGTGTAAAGAACCATGTTAATTGCAATTATGTATAAATTAGTTTAGTATAGCCAGCGAACAGTACCTTCCACAGAAGGAAAACAGAAAACCGCTGAAAGAAATGTAAATGAAATAGATTTAATCAGAACAGAGTATTTACTATTTGTTGTAAATGATGACAGAATGACACACGTATTTAAAACATTTTGTAAAATATATTTTGTTTTAGCAAAGGAATCAGTAAAAACAGAAGTGTAGAAACTTTCCATTTCTCGCCCTTCAGACTTGTGTACCAATTTTAAAAAACAATCTACTTATTAGAATATAGGGCAAATATTGCCTGAGTTAGAGTTGAATTACTTAGCCTTAATCAATAGGACATACAATTTCTGAAATACATATCCTGCCCAATTTTCCTCCTTAATTTAATTGGTGTAAATATTTCAAGCAGTTAAAAAAGTGGTAGGAATAAGCAACCTGATGTTTAGGGCGCTGTCTTAAAAGAGAGAACAACTGCGCTCAGATTCTTCAGCAACTCGCAGAAACTGAATGGAAGTTCTTTATAATTCAGTTGAATACTTTCCTCAGTATGATTTTAAATAAAAAGGGTAAACAGTTTATCACCTTCTATTTTTTCATAAATAGTAGTTTCTCCTTTGCTCTTACAAAAACCCACTAGGCCAACTTGATTGTTCCTCAGAAAATAAAACACCATTTCCTGTCGCTGTTACAATTTCAGCATGAAGTAAAATTTCAAACACAACTCAAAACTCTATCCTGAAAAAATGAATAGCAAATTTACATTGCAAATATTACCAGAGTGAAACAGTACTTAAATGTTTTTACAGTTCAATAATTTAGTAAAATGGCCAGAAGACCAAGCTGTCCACCTGAACTAGAAGTCATAAGAAAAAGTTTGGGAAACAAATCAGAAATTATGAAAAAGGTACTTGTGATGCAAAAGCAATCGTAATCATTGTAGGAATAATGGTTTTATCTCATTACTTGTTATTCATTTTCTCTTAAATTGCGATTGTTGTGAGGCAAAATGAAAACAGGACTTGGGAATCACACCGGTTTTTTAGACGTGACTTGACCACAAGTAGATCTTGCCCATGCCTCTTAGTAAGATAAGAGGCTTGTGATTCATTCTATATTAATAAATATATTCCTTATATCTGAATCATAAACAAGATTGGCCACAGATTTGCTTTCAAGCCACATGATCCTTTTGCTTGGTGATCAGTTTTTCTCACACAATGAAAAATGTTTTTAAGAGCCTCACTCAGGCTTCAAAAAAGATTCAAGTCTTGTTTTACTATTTTATTGGTTGCGTTTCTTCCTCCAGATGTGAAGGAAGTGTCAGGAGTGTCCAAAAATGTGGTAGGTTTCTTAGCCTAAAATGTTTTCATTTATAAAAACAAAATCTTACCATTTTCATCTGATTCAACCTTTCTTCTCTGTCTGACAAATCTTACTGTAACTTTGATTTGTAAACTTTTTACTTTTTAAAATGTGTTGCATTTTTATATAGCTTTTCTCAAAATAATATATATTTTTTATACTGCATCTCCAAACATACTCATCTTTCCAAGTTGAGACAAAGTACATTTCAGAATTGTCCAGCCCTCTTGACCTTACAAAGCCACACACCAAAATTTCCACCCAAAAACCTCATACTGTCTCCACCTGAAAGCATAAGAAAAAGGGAGCTCTGAAAGTAGCTCACAGGCAAAAGAGAGCAGGATCTTTCAGCAGTATCCAGCGAAGCTAGTTTAGGCAGAATCTGGTGATTCATCTTCTTTGAAATAAAGGTTTGGATTACTCAGCAGCCTCTGTGCAGGCACAGTCCACCTGTGGCCTGTCCCGAAATCCCTGGCACAGGAGCTGTACTCTCACTGCTGAACTGCAGGCAGCTCATGATTAATTTTTAGGTTACCCTTGTCATTTGATTGCACTGTCGATACCTGCCTCTCAAATCTGATACAAAAAATGGGTGGATGAAGCACAGAGCTAGGAACGTGAAGAAAGACTGACATTGGGGAGTCTAGAAAGGAGACACTAAGATTTGTAGGAACTGGATGAAGCCTGAAGAATGGCAACCAGAATGAATTAGGTGAGCTGTAGATTTTGGAACAGAAGTACCAGAAACAAGTACAAAACAAAAGCCTAAACAGATTAGATAAAGAAATAACAGCCGAAAGAGCTAAAAAAGTCCCTCCTGGCAAATCCTGGAAGAGGATCCAAAACTTATTCTCCTTCTACCAGACACACGTACTTGTAAAGTACATCCTTGTCCAGTCAAAGATGATGAGAGTCCATTGCTGCTACTGGTTTCTCAGCTGTTTGAATGGTACAGCGGGGACCTTCAGCTACTGATCGTAAACTTAATAACCCTACTGATAAGGCATAGAGTTACATCATACTCCATTATAAACTTACCACCTCACCTATTTATTAAGTTTTTACACCTAGGAAATTACATTCAGTAAAAGCTGTAGTAAAGCAAAGCATTACTAATTTCTGCATGCTGGAATTTTCAGAATTAAGATTAATTTTCAACCCATTAACTTAAAAAAATAGAGGAAAAAAGCCTATCATGAACAATTTTGGGTTTTAAGCACTGCTTGAATAGCATGCAGTGAAGAAACAGTAAGGTAACACACAGAACAGAAGGAAAAAAACTAATTAAACAGATTGTTAGTAAGTGTGTGCCATCCATTTTGTGCAATCAATGAGGCAGATATCCCACCGGAAAAACTGTGATTTTGTGATTCAAGAGCATATGATAAAAAATACATATATACACACAGCAAATTGGACTGTTTGCACAGACAATACTGACTGTGACACTGTTAAGCTTTTAAATGTTTGACTTTGCAACCTTAAAAATGCTCTTTTAACACAGTTTCTTTAAAATGTACCATCACAAACGAAAACTAATAAACAACTTATTGCCAGGAAATGTGTTGACACATTTCTAAATAATCCTGCATACAGAGCTTCCAGTTTATCATTTTTATGATTACGATGGTAGATTGCTAGGATCATCCCTTGCTTGGCTGTATATTAGCTTTATACAGAGGCTGAGCTTTACCAAATAAAATTTTCTAAACAACAATATTGGATGCTAACACACACAATGCTGCCCATACCAAACCTTCAATAATGTTTTACATTAAAGAAAGGAGATTCACAGTCCTTATGAGTTATAGATTCATGCAGCTATAAATGTAATAGAGCTGCAAATCAGAAATATTACAGCAAGAAATCTCTGCAACCACGCAATTCAACTTGAGCAGAGAAACAGTATACAAGAGGTAGAGAAGTGTTAGATAAACCAATAAAGTCTATATGAAATACAGCAGATCATAAAACAGCTACACGTATCTGAAAACTGCTTTGCTATACTTTACAAAAAATAAAGCAGTACGTTGAGTATATGCAAGAAGAACGTCTGAGAGTGTTAGCCTTCTGGCAGTAGTTACAGCCTTACTTCTGTGAAATGCTAGTAAATGCAATCCTTAAAATGAACTACAGATATTCAGTTTAGAACATAGCTATAGTAACCCATGTGCTATCCTACCTGATCTATAGGCAGTCCGCTAGGTCTCAGTCAGAAAGCCTACCCCTTTAGTGCATTTATATTTTTAGTACTCGAAGTCCATAAAACAACTGTAACTTAAGAGCCCAGGATAACAAACACTATACTATGCAGTGCAAAAATAATCTCGGAAAATAAGATAAAAGGCTCCGATAGCTGTTACATTAGAAGATACAGTTTCAGTTTAACATGACAGAAAAACATTCATATGCACTTACATCACCAGCTTAGAAGATTTTCTCCAACACAGTATATGTTGTTCACAGACTTGACCATTTCTGTTCTTTGTGGGGAGGGCAGGTGGATTTTGTATTTATTGTTTTCCAATCCTTATTTCAACAGTCTCAAAGTTGTGACAAATTTGCAGTCCGCATCACTTCATCTATCCTTACTTATCACTTTTTCTTGATGTTATCATTATCATTTTCCAGCCACTTATCATCACCTTTCTCAAGTTCTTTCAGCATCATCACAAAATATTGTCTCACCAGTAATTCCCTGCAGTCTGTTCAGTTCAGTCTCAAGGCTGTGGACCCTGTAGAATGTCTCCTAAAGGAGAACGTCTACTGCACTGAATCTCAGAATACTGTATGCATATATAGTTTATTTTTCTTCTTCTTCTATAGTTTGCTAAGCGCGTACAAAGTTACCTTAAGGTAAAATATCATGTCAATGAGAATGTATTAGCTGCCCTAAGTGTCCACATGCTTCCTTGCAATAAGTTGGAACTGAGTTATCATTTATTACACAGTAAATGCACATACACGAGCACTTGTGATCAAACAGCCAAGGTACTCTTCTCTAGCTTACCTAACAGTAAACTAATACTGTCACAGCAGAGACTAACCTTTTGAGAAGGTCTATAATACTCACCCTTCGTGCATAGTATAAACACATATTAAAAACAACTATGAACTACAGTTCACTTTTAAAGGACGTAACAGTGTGGCTGACAAATATATTAACAGACAAACGTACCTTGTTCCTCTTGAAAAAAGGTAACTTGAAAATTGTCCATGTGAATTTCAGGAAATGGATTTTAATAAGTCTATTTACATAACAACCCATGCTTTACATGAACATAAAATGAAATATTTTATCATTTTTCTGACTATTATCTTGACTTTTAGTCATCAATACAGAATACTTGGCTTTTTTATTCAATTATTTCATTTTCCACATTAAGATAAAAATGGTCTTAGAACATGCAGCGTTTAACAGAATATAAACAGATGCAATGTAACCAACAAAATTAATATCATACCTATAATATTCCTCCTCTCATAAAGAGAAAGACTTCTAAAATTCAAGCTGTCCTGATAATTTAAAATAACTTAAATCTAGTGTTGGGCATTTTAAGACATATAATATTTCATTATTATTTCAACAGCTCTTTCTTCTACAGAGAATTCAATCTTTTATTTAACAGAAACAAAAGACTACTTTATTTTTTCAACAAGTAATAAACGAACTAATTCTAATACCAGAACAAATAATTTCACTCCTTAGGTAAGCTGTCAATGAACAAGATTTAAATTTATTTTTAAGGGCAAGATCTTATGATTGTACTATGTAGTTATCAATAAATGCCCCAATATTACAAGAAAACGGCTACATCCTCAAATGAAATACTGTAAAATTCTCACATTTATGAGTAAATTTACATGTATGCATGTTATTTTTTTATTGCAATAAAAGTCTTATAACAAAGGATTCACAATTTTGCGAATATTTAAATAGGGTTTTAACTTTTTATGGTATATTAGATATATGGACTACAGCATGTTCTTCGGATACTGTAAAAGATTTCAATGTTGACGATCTGAGTCAAATATAAGGTACCACGAAAAACTGCTGCTGTACAACGGAGTATGAAAACAATCCACATCTTACTAGTTCCTCTTTCTGTCTTTTTGATTGTACATATGTAGAGTATATGCAATAATATATAAAGCAATTTACAAGATATGTATGTGAATATGATGACAGGTTGAAATAGCGGGGAAAAGATATAGCACATATATTCTTTTTTATAAAACTTAGGAAAGATAAGAGAGATTCAGTCTTTCCAGGATTTTTTTCTTGTGCCCTTCTGAAAAAGTCAGCACCATATTGGAAAACCTCAGGAGCTAGCCAGATCAATCAAATAGTTTGTTCTACAGTATTTTGCTCATGTATCTGTTGAGAAATTAGGGAAGAGCCTAAAAGACTTCACCACAGCACAGAATTTTTTACAGGCATGTGTATATTTCTCACAAAATGTTTATCAGTTTCTGTGACAACTCAGTAGAGCATTTCTATTTTGGAAAAAAAGATCACTAGAAGATATGCGCTTTCACTTTTGTGTTTTCACCCAGTCTTCATATTTTACTCTCACTTTGCTCCTTACCTCTGGCTGATTAGAAATATTGAGAATGAGGGCCCACAGATCAGCTCGGAGTGCTGTTGGACATCCCTGACGAACATATTGTTGAGCTGCAGCACTATCTTGCTCTGCTAAAACTGTAAGAAAGCAAGCAGGTAATGAACTGATATAGTTTAAGACTTCCAAAGTTTATGAAATGATCACGTACTTTAATTTTTAACTTTACAAATTGGTTTACCATGCTGTAAGCATTAGCTAATGGGAAAATATCTAAAAGGTCTGGTTTTCAGAATGTAATTTTGAAGTAGTTCTCTGGGAAACAAGGCAATTGATATTAATAAGCTAGGCTGTACTACCTCCTGTCATAAAAGAGCACTTAGTATGTATCTTCTTAGTATGTATCTATGACTATATCAAGGTTAGTTGCAGCTACTAGGCTGGCATCTAGTGGAACAAGCAACCGTATATAGCCACAAAATACTCCTATTTAACTATGAGTGGTATCTCAGTTCAAATAGGAGATTGCCACTCATTCCGGTTTTTTGTGTCTCCCCTATTTTTATGTTAACTATATGAATATCTTCACAGATAACTGTGGGGCACAATCTTTCCATTTCAGAGTGTCCTGTCTTGTTCTCTCATTATTTGTATACATACTCTGGAGGATAAAGACTTTCTCAAAAGATTTTGTTTTTCCTTCAGGCTGACATAAAACAAATACTCTACAGTTGACAGGTTTACCTAGATGGGTCATTGTTGTGAAGCTTTAGGCTACTCTGTCACAAGGGCCTCATCCTGAATACAGTACTGTACATACCTTAGAGCGGATTATCTCATTCCTTACTTAAATCCATAAACTTGAAAGACAATGATCTTTAGCTATCCTAATCTGGTAGGAGTGTTGTTTCCCATTGAGGTTATGTGATTAATTGTATCCTCATACCTGTCTTTCACAACAGAGAGTTGGGAGAATAATTCTGTGAGATTATCTAGACATTACATAGGTGTTGTGCTGGTACTCAGAAGTTTCCAAATCTGTATCTTCTGACTTTTCTGAAGTCTCTCAGAAACAACTTGCTTTTCTAAATTTCACTAAATTCGATATTCATGATATCTGCCCTGACATGGCTTAGAAGAATGAGGTTTGGAAGTATAAATGTATTTAATTGATTCCTCTCTCCTTCCCTCTCTTCTTAAATACTGAATAGACCAGTCTGTCAATTGTCTGTTTAACCTGCAGAGCTCTAACACAGACGGTGCATGATCCTTTTTTCCTAAACAAAGAGGGCAAAAATTAAAAACATTTCTACATTCCCCACAAAACTTTAGAAAAGACCGTGATTCATGTCAGTGTCCATGAGTGTTTATCTTACTGTTTCTTACTGAGACACAAAATACTAAAAAGTAGTTTTGCTATATAGAAGATTTTTACTAAATGCAATAAAGACAATTCCTCAGACTTGGCAATCCATCTAATATAAAAGCAAAATCAATACATCAGTGGCAGCCAAAGTCATAACCAACACCCAATAGAGCATGCAGTAGGACTGCTACTGAATGAACTGAGATTTCAGTTTGTGGTCAAGACTCTTAACACACATTTTTACAAAATTTTGTGTCTTTGCATGTAGGAAAAGCTAAGACAATCTCTGTAACAGAGGCTGCTCTACACAGACGAGACGAGGAGTGAGAATTACATTGTGGGGTTGAATGACTGGCTCAGGAAGTCTGGATAGGAAATTTATTTGGAAGAACAGGAAAAGAACAGAGATGGACAGGACCCTAATGAGTTGCTCTTGGATCAGAAAACAGACAATGAGGGATAGAAGGAGGACCGCAAAAGGAGAAGTAAGAAAGGTCATGGTTTTCTTACTGAAACACACACAAACAAAAAAGAAAAAAAAAGGATGGAGGACTTTTGGGATGGTATCCACTGTTTTTTTCTTTGATGGTGATGATGTTTAGCAGGAATCACCAGAGAAAGGAAGGAGCAGATATTGAGGGATTTCAAACATTCCTTGTATGTTTCTTCTATAAGCAAACTTGACTAATAAATGATTATTTCCTTTATCTTCCCTTTCTTTTCTAGGTTATTTCTTAACCTACAAAAACCCCAGAATTTCTTCAGAAAAATCAGTATAAGGAGACAAATGAGTGAATTTTCCATGGTGGCTAAGTATTGCAATACTTAGTAAGTTCTGTAATTGCAAATAACAATTAAAAAGACTCTGTTCTGACGCACAGGCGTAAACCCCATTACACTAATGAGAACTGTGTGTGCAGAGAAGGGAGTCCAGAGTCTTTTGATTTTAAAATGAAATTCAGTAGTGGCATAAGTTAAGTTATCACCAAAAAGTTATGTCTATATGCTTCCTATTTCATTCTTAATGAAATATCTGTGGAGCTATTTATCTGGTAGCTACTGGTAGACTGCAAATGCTTGCTTTTCTGTCTCTGTCTAAATTACAATGGTATTACTGGCTGTCTCTGTCTAAATTACGATGGTATTAGATGAGCGCAAAGCACAGTCAGTGTCTAAATTGTTAAAATTCTAAAAGGTACACGTAATTGAGATAGACTTTTACTAAATGTTTTCCTAACTACTCACAGTTTATTATAAATGAAAACAGATACATACCTTTCTGTCCAACACGTACATGTTCATTTTCAAAGAACTCTAGAAAATAAATAAATAGGAAAGAATGGCAAAAAAAAAAGATACTGCAGCTAGTAATATATTTTGATTTTTACTACACACCACTACATTCAGCTGATTTTTACTGCTAACATCACTAAAAATTAACTTGTATCAGCATCAATGTTCTTTTTCAAAAACTAAGAAGAAATAATACTATAGAATTTTTTCTTGTCTGAAGGACACAAATACCAAAGTAGCACTATACTGCATGAACCCAGACTTTCAATAAGGTAAGTTTCCATTTAAAAAGAAGAGTCACTTGATATTATAATGTTTTCCACTTTTATATGGAAAGACCATTTTAAAACCTGTTTCTACAGGAATAAATGCATACACAGAAACACAACAGAAATTATGCACTATTTAAGCTACTGAATACATGGATATTTTCTGTAATCTTTTCTTAGAGATTCTTGTACATATGCCTATCTGTTAGTTGGCTTAGCGTTTATTGATATTTTCTGTATTTTTGGAGATAGGCAATTTTTTCCTCTAGATCCTGAAGTATTCAAACATACTGAAATTAACATATTTTCTATTTAAGGTGATGATTCTAAATCTTCTCCAAAGCTGACCCTTCATATTTGCAATGGTCTCTATTATTAGCTCTATTTTACTAAGAAAATCACTACAATCATAGTTACACAACAAATATTTATGGTTTATTATGGAAAAAAATACACAATGTACTTGATAACTGCAAAGTATTCTACTCATTAGTGTTCTATTTAAGTGACTGAAGCACAGCGTTAGCTAACCAGGAGGCACTTGTGCTGAATCATCAATACCCAGTTGTCCTATATTTAAGCCTAGTTCACTGAAGTCTTCTTTCTGAAAAGAAACAAAACCATAAAACAGTAATTAACAATGTTTAATTCTCTAAATTACTAGAGATTTCTTCTGAAAGGCTTAATACAAATATTTTCCAAACCAATCATAGTTCTTTTAAATGCACATATATGGAATATGAGCTCAGGTTTTTAAAGAGAAGAATCTCACATCAATTCTTACTCTAGTCTTAGTTATAAGGCCCAGTTTTCATGTCAGCTATGAGTTACAGCTATGGATGTAATGAAGTGGTGAATGAAAGACTAGGTTAAGGATATCTAATTCCCAGCTCTTTCCCAACCTAGGTACAAGCATAAAATCCTCAAGAGACTTATCAGTGAAGCATTAAACAGAGCTCTCCTATTTTCCCATTATAATGCTAGTACCCAAGCATTTCCTTTCATTTACAATCTGACAATAAAGGGATTTAGAGTTACTTTGAGAAGAAAATTAGAAGCTAACTGGTTGTCAGGATACTGGTCTTGTACAGCATCAAATAAAACTGTAGAATTAAGATAAACTACATAATTAAAGTTTTCTTGTACAGAAAAAAGTGAAAAACATGTACAGAAGTATATTTCTAGCACAAATCAAAGCTGTGTGGCATAAAATGAAAACTACTGGCAGATAATTTACTGTTTATGTTTTACATTTAGAAATGTCTTTTCATAAAACTTCTTTTATGCTCTGTGTTTTAGCTACATATTTAATTTATTTTCATTTTCAAAAGGAGAAACGTATCATGATATTAATATTCTTTACTGTTTAGAATCTTATTCATTAGCAAGGCAAAATAATTCTTACAGAAACCTATTGTAAGAAAAAAATATACTTACGAGTTCTGGAATATCTTTAACTTTTAGAGGAACCTGAATTAGCCCCAGATGATTTCTGAAACTTGGCTGTTCTCCATTTTCATAATTTGGGTTTCGAAGATTCATCAGTACCTTAAAAATGGTAGCTCCTCTGTCATTCCTTGCATATATTCAGCAATTTACATTCAGAAATCTTCTTATCATCATCAGTATTACAAACAGAACGTTCAGCATAAAACCATTTCCTACAACTATCATATATATAGGCCCAAATTATCCAATTACATCTCAACATTTTCAAAATCAAAAAGAAGCCAAATCTTTAAGGAAGGAAACATATTCTACTTTGAAAAATAAGCTCAAATTATGAAAAAAAAAAGACATTATTTTTGATATATGGGATTAAGTGCTGGCTACATAGTAATGTGTTGATTAAAATTCACTTCCTCATCAAAGCCATTCGAACGCCAAGAGTAATTTCTGATAGCTACAATATCCAGGATATTCTTCAGTATTACTTTTTTCTGAAAGAATTTTTATCCATATCCTTACATTGACAATCCTAGGTAGCTTTCAATCAAAGTGCTACATAATTTGCTACTTAAGTAATTTCTTACTAAATAACTATACATCAAAATATCTTTTCTTTAAGAACAAAAAATAAATTACAGAATTGAAAACCTAAAGTAAGGATAAAATTTAAGAGGCAAGGAATCACAATGTCAAGATAAGTAACTTGAATCTATAAAGGAATTTACAGCCTCTTACATACTGTTATTCCATGGGTATAGATTTTGATGTTATAATGTTGAGCTGGCAAGGATTCTTTCCAAGATGAGTTTCAAGCTCTTATGAAATTCTTCCACAACATCCTATAGCTCTACAATTCTCAGTCTTATAAGTATTCTTATACCATATAAACTCACTTTCAGACTCATAAATTAAAAGATTAATGCAAGAAACTGCAAGCTCTGGAAACAAACAGTATAAAAGAAGAGTGACCTTGAGGGTCACTGGATAAAGCTAAAATGAAGATGGATTTGTTTACAGATTTGAGAATAAATACAAACTTGGCTGTGATGGAAAACAGAATAAATTTAAAATTTCCAATATTATTATCACTAACTGAAAAAGAGAATGTCTTTAGAAATGTAATAAAATGGATAAAAAAGTTTATTGTTGGATTCAGAAATGCATTCACAATTCATAACCATGAAACAGTTTAAGCTTAAGTCAGAAATACGATAAATCTCCTCTATTACTACAAACTATTCCACTAAACTTGCACTGAATCACATCAAAATATTAATACATTAATTCTGACCGATAATTCAGTATTAGACTTCTAAGTTTTATTCTGTAAATTAGGAGTCCATCCGGAACAGACTGCCCAGAGAGGTTGTGGAGTCTCCTTCTCTGGAGATACTCAAAACCCGCCTGGACACCATCCTGTGCAACATGCTCTGAAGTGATCCTGCTCTAGCAGTGGGGTTGGACTAGATGATCTCTACAGGTCCCTTCCAACTCCTACCATTCTGTGAATCGGTGAATCTTAATTCTAGAGTTCTACACTGTTGTCATGCTCTAGACAATTTGTTTCCTGTATAACTCACAGGATATACAGATACTGATTTTTTCATTTTTATTTTCAATCACATTTTAATCCAAAATGTCCTACTATATCACCATTAAGTTCACTGTCATCAACGTTTGTTGTCCATTGTCCACACCTATTCTAGGCACAGCTGGTAAAGCAAGTTCTGTTTTTCTGAGATGTTCTGTGCTTGAACCATACAAAATTATGAGTAATACTGTCATTTTTGAAATGAATCTTTGAAAGATTCAGCAGTCACCTTTTTTCAATGGTTTGGTTTGATTATAGACAGAAGCCTCCAACTTTGCAGCTTTCAACTGCATACAGGTCTACGATCTACCACCAAACAGTCTATCAGCTTCACATATTGCAATTTCTCGGCTTAATGTATTGCAATTTAAAATCTGAAATGATTTATTAAATCAGTTGGAGAATTGCTCTCAGAAAAAAAGTTAGCTCCAAACTGATTATTCTTTGGAGAAAGAGAAGTTTACAACAAGTACAATTTAAAGGTGAAGTTAAAAAAAAGAGACAATAGCATTTTGTTTTGTAAACAAAACATGAAGTCATAAAAAGCATGCCAAATTTCACTTGCTATAAAAGACAAATTGTTTGAAATACACTTAACAATTATTTTCCCCACTTCACATAAAAGACTATAAAGGATGCAAGTCAATGGCCGAGTCATTGTTTCATAAACGCGTACCTCAAGAAAATCTTTAGGTGCATAAACAGGCCGGAAGAGACTTAGATCTGAAATAAGATTTCAATGATGCTATGTTAAAACCAAGAGATGAAAAAGCCATGCAATTTTCCCATACCTGTAACACAATCTACCAATTTCAGCAACACATTAGAGCAAAGATTAAAATAAGGTTATCACAAATATCATGGCTACAACCACCACATATTCTCCAAGATTATGGTACTGTTAGTGTCTAATTTTTGTAAACCCCTAGTAAGTGAACAACAGTAGTCACAGGAAGCCTTTTTTACTTATTCCACGTAAATCTTTAGCTTGAACCAATCTTAGACATGGGAAAAATGTTATATTCAAAAGAGGTTTCTTTTTTTTAACAGCAGAGATTGTTGAATTAAATGTACTGCTGTCAAATAAAAAATAGGGACTAGTCATAAGCAATCCATGAAAAGTATTTGCCGTCACAGAGGTAGTACTGTGACACAAACTAGTACCTTTGAGAAATCATTTCTTTTAAGGAACTTGTCAGTTCATATCCAAGGCAGTTAGCCTTGCTCTCCTAAAGGATAATATGACTGACTATTCCATGCAAGTGTTATTTTTATGTTTTGTTAATAAAACATCTAAGCTTTATTATCCATAGTTCAGAACATTTTCTTTCTATTAGCCTGAGCTTACACTAAGAGGAGCACTGCCCTAGCTGTATAAATCTCCAAAGCACTGGAACGAGGAGTATTATACCATAACCTCTCAGTGATGATTCAGAGTTAGTACAGTAACTTGAAACAAAATAACAATGAAATGAATATGTATTTATGCATAATGACATATTGCCAATGAGAAAAAAGATTGAAATCAGTTTACCTTGAAGTGATTACATTAATCTTTGACTGATGAATAAGAGGTATGTGCTATTGTTCTGCGTACAAAAATTTAATACACGTAAATTTAGTTGACCTTACCTGGCTCATCAGTTCCCATTTCATTCCATTTATTAAGCAGTTCTTTCTGTTCACTTACAGGCCTCTGAAAGGCATAAGAAAGTAACACTGTTTTCTTTTTCTTTTTTTTTTTTTTTAACAGAATGAGTAAAAACATGCCTATTTCAAATACATAAATTAAGGTAACATTAAAAATATATTGCTCTAGCAACACAAACTTATTTTGCTTACAAATTACCCCTAGCCTGAAGGTATACTCTACTGCAGAATGTCCAAGTTCCAGTTCAAGGAAAAAAAGGAGCACATTAAATAGTTTCATGTGCTTGCTAATGAATTTTAGGCTATTTAATAGTCAGCTTCATATTACTGAAGATTTATTGCTCATTCCATAGAACTGTTGGAGTTTGTTATCAAATTCCTGTCCCTGGCAGTCATGAAAAGCAAACACAGCTGCATCCTTTATCTCATATGATGAGCCATAGAGGTTCTGCTACCTATCATAGATATATAACAGGAGAAAAATAAAGAAGAAAACATTCTAACATTATTCCCCAAACCCATGATCTTTAAAATTAAAGCCTCTAAATTAATAGAAACCAAAGAGCAGAATGAAAGACAGCCAAAATCAGCAACAAACCAGTCTCTCTCTCTCTCCTAAAGTACCAGTTCAACTATAGCTTTCTCCAATACACAAAGTATATCTATATTGTGTACAGGCTATGCAGCTAGAAGTCATATAGCAGAGCCCGCACACAAAAATGCTCTAAGAGCAATGAACATAGCAATTAGCTTTCCAACACGCTGCTCCCTCAAGAGGCTAAGTACTGCAACAGCAAAGAGGAAGATCTGCCTATAGAATTTTATATTTTCCCAATTTGAGCTGATGCACGTATTGCCACTATCCCTGAAAATTATTCTGTGTTAAAATTATTTGGATACCAGACTTGCAGCTCTTGACAACTATCTGTAAAATGAACAAGTGTGCAAGATGAGACTTAATTTCCAAAAAATATCAGTTTGGCAACAGAAAGTTAACAATACATTACCTTCTGTGCTAGTGGGATGCTGAGTTCTGTGCACATGCTGTTTAGACTTTTTAGAATTCGCTTCTCCCAGCTTCCCTAAAGCACATAAGAAATTGAATTACATGGAATTTATTTTTCCTCCGGTTGCATTTATCATGTAATAACAAGCAGCCTTTTAAGGTCATACATAAGAAAGGATAGGAAGACTCACTGACTGACATCTGCAAAAACGATAAGGGAATATTATATGCTTGCTTAAATTGAAACAATAGAGCAAACAGATTTCATCATTTACATCACAATAAAGAACCAGAAAAATGAGTTGTTCACATTTCAGATCTCCAAAAAGCATGTCTTTCACAATTACTCATTTTTGACATATGCCTAATGATCAAGCTTCCTTATATATCAACATTTAACAAGTTTTTCAAATTATTATAAGCAGGGCAATCAACTATGTACAGAGAATGCCTTCTCTACTTTGTGACCTAAAGAGAGTGCAAGTCTTTCTCCACAAAAGGTATCTTAAATGTTCTCAGAAGTTAAAAAAATTAGAAATTTTGTAATCTGTAATGCTCAGAAAAATAGTTATTCTAAAATAACGCTCAGGAAATAGTTCTCTAATCAAATAGAAAACCAGAAGTAGACAATATCTCATAGCAACTGGACAGCTTAAAGAGCAGTCAGATTCTTCCGACTACTGCATTAGAAAACTTACCACGTGGTACCTCATCCGTGGATAATTCCTCTGAAGCTAATGCCAACTAGTATTGACTTTCTAGTCAACTGACTTAGGATTTTGCTTCCGTGATTACAGCAGCACTGTTGGGTTTTATATTTAATTTAGTTTTCTGTGGATGATGAGTCAGACCCAGATCAAATGAATGCAAAGACTCCTCTTAATGTCATTTAACTCTATTTATTATTTGTAATTTGCTCTAGACACAAACTGTACAACTGTTAGTTACTGTCTGACCACACGTTCTTCAAACTTAAAGTTCTGTTCAAAAGAGACTGCAGTTTATTAGACAGGAAGCAAATGGAAGGAAGGGCAGATGTTCAAATGTTCAGTTAAAAAAATAAAAATTATATTTTGTCTATAATTGTTTCATTTTAGCTTCCATTGAAAAGATCTTCTCATGACTTTCCATCAAATGAAATAGCTATCTTTCACCAGAAATTTCTTCTCACAATCAAGTCATCCTTTCACCTTCTCTTGCATAAACAAAAACAGACCATAAGGAATGTTTTCTAAATTGCAGCATTCTGTATAATATTTTTATTTAACTGTATTATCATATTCAAATGCCTTCCAAATGCTCCAGTTACATAACACCATGCCACAAACTGGTTATTCTCTCAGAGGAGTGGTGTGGTGCATTTACTGTACTCTATTTTGCTGAGAAGTGTGGGTTTGCTGCTGGAAGAAATGAGAAGCGAGAAAGCACAAAGACTACTAAGCCATATAGGATAATAAAGTGGAAACAATACAGAAGTGTTAGTAGCAGTTTAGAAAACAAAGTGAAATCATCAAGATCAATCATAGAATCACAGAACACCAGGTTGGTAGGGATCTCAAGGATCACCTGGTCCAACCTTTGTTGGCAAAAGCACCGTCTAGACAAAATGGCCCAGCAGTCCATCCAGCCAAATCTTAAAACTGTCCAATTTGGGGAATCCACCACCTCCCTGGTGAGATTATTCCAATGGCTGATTATTCTCATTGTGAAAAATTTTCCTCTAGACTCCAACTGGAATCTCTCCAGGAGTAGCTTGCACCCGCTACCTCTTGTCTTTTCCATGTGACTCCTTGTAAAAAGGGAGTCTCCATCTTCTTTGTAGCCACCCTTTAAATACCGGAACAGGGTGATAAGGTCTCCCCATAGCCTTCTTTTCTCAAGGCTGAACAAACCCAGCTCTCTCAGCCTTTCCTCATAGGGCAGGCTTCCCCACCCTTTGATCATCTTTGTGGCCCTTTTCTCGACCTCCTCCAGCCTGTCCACATCTTTTTTGTATAGTGGGGACCAAAACCAAACACAGTATTCCAGGTGTGGCCTGACAAGTGCTGAGTAGAGTGGAATAATGACTTCTTTATCTCTGCTGGTGATGCCCTTGTTGATGCAACCCAGCATCCCGTTGGCTTTCTTTGCCACTGCAGCATGCTGTTCACTCATATTGAGCTTGTTGTCCACCAGGACCCCCAGGTTCCTTTCCACAGAGCTGCTTCCCAGCCAGGTAGATCCCAACCTGTGCTGCAGTCCTGGATTACATTTTCACAGATGTAAAACCTGACATTTGTCTGTTGAACTTCCTAAGGTTCTTGTTAGCCCACTCTTCCAGCCTATCCAGGTCTTCCTGCAGGTGGCTCTCCCTTCCAGTGTCCCCTGCCCCATTCAGTTTGGTATCATCAGCAGACTTCATCAGGGTACATGTGATCCCATCAAAATTAAGGGAAAGAAAGAAAAAACAAACCACACACAGATACACTCCAAGATATAAAAGCTACAAAAGAAGCACAGAGGAGGCAAATGGAGGAAGAGGCTTTGCAAGACCAAGAACCAGCTCATTCCAAGGAGCAGCAGAGGTCGATACTCTTGGTGTGACTGACAACTACCAGACCAGACATTAACCCACTTACTGTGTTGGGGATACAATATGTTAGTAATAAATCACTTCTGGATACTCATAAACTGTGCCATAATTCAGCCTTCAAGACTCTGCTCAGTAACTATGTTCAAATAAAAGCAACTAAGTAAAAAAAAAAAAAAAAATGAGGGTTACATAGCCTCTCCAAACAAGGTGCCCTCCCCTCTCCCCAGGACAGCGGAGTTACCTGCAGTGAGCAGAAACAGAATGCAGTGTCCTCGACTGAAATAAAAGCCAGAGGCAGAGTTCATGAAGTCATTTAATTGATGGGAACAATAAATTTTCCAAGACGATTGCTCTAATTTTATGAAGAAATTTAACACTAAGAAAACACGTTGCTGGGATTGCTATGGTTACAATGATAACCTTCAGTAAAATAGCTGAAACTGAGGAAGGCAGTACTGCAACTCACAATTTCAAACATGTCTGTTACAAATCAGATTTATCTTATCCTGTAGCAAAGTCATTTATAAACTTTCACTGCAGTTAAATGAACCTGAGTGAACAACAAATAAACTAAACAGAAAAATGTCACAACTGCATGAACTAGCCAGGATTAGTTACAGTTTTTTCCACAAAAATGAATCCTAAAATTCTTTCTTCTAGAAGACCAGACAAAAATGTGATTCTTTCAGAGTGTACCTAATAAGACCTACTCTGCAGGTAGAATTCAACGTGTCTGGACACAGATTTCATTTGGTACATTTTCTCTAACCAAAATCTGTGAACTTCGAAAAGAAGAGAAACATAGAAACTATGTTGGCACTGCTCTCGTTCTGATGGTCATGAACTTTTCATTTGGCCTCTGATAAGAGGTGTAACTTAATTTAGGACACAAGGAATCACATCAATACATGATCTAAAAGAGATGTGAATATCCCCTATTTCAACTTCTGTAACAAGAAACAAAAATTCCTTTGGGAATAATAAAAATGTTATCAAAGTTTTTCCACTTTCATACTATTCAACGAAAACACCGTTTTTTTAAATCAACTATTGTAGCACTCAAGTCTATTTTCTCAAAGAGATTTAGAAACTAGGAAAGGCGAATTGTCCACTGAAGGAAGACATTTTAAGCAGATCTTCAGCAGTCACAGCATTAGAGTATGTAGTATTGTCACTTTAATTTTTTCAGAGTCCACTAGTCCGTTTCAAGAAAGAAAATTAATAATTTAGCTGTTTTTTCTTCTTTAGGGACTATTTAACTCCTCTGGGAGAAATTAGGATATTGATAAGAATCTCTATTACACTTTAGAAAGTTCCTAGTACCCATGCTCCTATTGAAATCAATTGTAATGTTACTCATATTTTGAATAGGACTGGAGAGTGCTCTAGCTCATAACTATAAACCTACAGGTCAGAATGCTGTTTTGATTGTGTGTCAGTATAGCATGTACAACATGGGCAATCAGGTCTTAGCTGGGCAAAAAACATACCAGAATATCAATAGCAAATATAACAATGTACTTCAAGGTGATTTTCTAATCAAGTCTGTTGTTTATGTATGGCCTTTGTTCAAAATGCAAAATCTGAAAATGAGCCAAGAGGAACATAGGAAAATTCAAGTCCTGGGAGGAAAGGATTTGCTTTAGCAAAGCACCACATCAGTAAGATCTTCACAGATTTGGCTAGAAGCATTGAGGTAAAGAATTTAACGAAGCAAGGGGCAAATTGGTTAAAATACAGACAATCATGGTCTTCTATCTTCCTGGAAGTCTGAAGATCAGCCCACCAGAGAACAATTTATCTTTTCAGGTCCTTGTATTTTTAGATAACCAGCTGATGCTACTCAAGTAGAACACACTGAATTACACTTAAGATTTGCTGAAGTAGTATATCAGAACTCTCATTTTTATGAATGCACTCCAGTACTCTAGTTTTAAGAGCTGCCCTGCCTTCAGGAAGGTATTGCAAAAGATCATCCAGAGTTATGTTTCTGACTGCACAGATTTCAGACAAACCTATCCATTTTTTTCATTAGAGACAAATTTAGAAATAATGGAACAAAATTTAAAGAAGATCAAGCAAAAATAAGTATTATTAACTCAAACAACAAGGGTTCTCCAGTCAGTAAAGTATCTCAGATTTCTTTGCAGATAGCTAGTTAACTTAATGTTGCCTCCCTCTGGAAAGCAACACCTTTCCCACTCCTATTATGAAAAGCTCCTTTCCTGTTTTCTTACTCCTTATGCTTTGTAACTGGATGATGTGGCATCAATTCTTATCCAACTATCTCCTCCTTAAGTTTACGTGTTTAACATTTCTCTCAAAACCCAGGAACAAGCTCCTAGCTTACAGCTAAAAACAGGAAAAAGGACCTGTATGAATTAAAGCAAAGCAATGCAAATTTATGAATTTTATATTATGGAACTATCATGATAAGAGTTCTTTTTGAGATTTACAGTGTTTGGTTTGTTGTGACCTTTGTAAAATCTACATATGACACAATTAAAAGACAGCTTCATGGCAGGTATCAGACTGTGGAAACACTTCCTAACATATCCTTGGACTCAGCTTCTTACGCTTCTCTAGCTCTTTTTGCTCTTATTTTTATGTTGTCCATTTCATTTCTTCATTGCTCTTCACAGTAGAGTTGTCCTAAATCTAGCAAACGTTTTCCCAGTGAACTCTGGGAGCAAAACAAACAGTTGAAGAGGTCTGCAATCATTTCACCTCATCAAAATGTAGATATGGAAATAGTCAGTACAGCAGTTCAATGGATTCAGGAATGTTTCTACTCACATCAGTCTCTGCTGGGCAGGAAACACAAATTAGCAAAGTTCAAATTTTTAATCCTAGGATCTAGTGCTAACACTTTGTCTGCATTAAGACACAGAAGTTTTTAGCATAATTCTGCTGTTTAAGAAGGCAGAAAGAGGTGAGCTATTTCACCAAGATTGTAACCAGACCAAATACCTCAGAAAACACCAGGGTTGTGAAATCACCTGATGTTTTAAAGAAAGGTCCTAAATACTGTATCTGACATTTTTCAGGAAACAAAAAAC